CTGGTTTGGGCCTCCCCCCCCCTCGCGCGGTCAATCAACTAGTTACAGTAACCAGCAAGAAGCAGAACTGTAACACTGGAAACTACAAGCTACAACTGACACAGGAAACTGCGAACCCGCGCCTACAGCCTGGTGGCCCCACAAGGGGGCCGGCGGATTTAAGTCGGGCCTGTCCCTCTACAGGAGGAAAATTCAGAAATAGTCAAAAATAGGTAGTGGACGATTTTTCTACTATGTTTGATCATTTCGGAGTAGTTTTGACCATCTGGTTTTTCCTCCAAAATCGGTCTGTAGGGGGACATGCCCGACCTAAGCATGGATCGTCAGTGGATGTCTTTCGCCAACCTCTTCCAACGCATCTGCAGTGTGGTTTGTTATTCCGGAGTCCTTTGATGCCGAGGCGTTTTTGTAGGCCTCCTGGATGGGGTCTGAGGAGATGGGGTCGGAGGATCACGCCTCATCGCCGATGCATCGCGGATGCGGCTCGATGTGGAGCCGATTTCCTCCACGCGGCGCCGATGCACCGCCGACGTCGCCGGTGCATCGCCAGTGCATCGCCGATGCATCGGCGATACTTCGCCGATGCCTCGGGGATGCGGCGCGATCCTCCGACACCATCTACTTCGACCCCATCTCGGAGGCCTCTAGTTTTTGGGGTGTCACACCGATCTGTATGTGCAAGTCCAGCCTCAGTCTCATGACAAAACAGCCAGCCGCGGCCCATCGTCCCCCATTGATCACTCGCAGTCTAAGACGAGTTCGGACCGTCCATCAAAGTGTGCATGAGCAAATACCCGTTTTCGCAACTGGTCGCTTATCGCTTGCTTTTCAAACTATTCGTGCCTTAGTTCAGTTTCGCCCGCCTTCGCCACTTGACCTTCTCTTTGAGTGCCGCGTAATTGCACCTCGCCCGCGTCCTCCCAGGTTATCCGTCAGCGCTGGCATGAGACAGAAAACGTGTGCGATTTCTCCTGATGCCTATATTGGCCCAAGAGGGTGTAGCAGTGCGGTTCAGCACCATGCGAACCGTGCCCGGAAGCATCACGGCGGCGGCCGCGTCGCGCCGAGCCTCGTCACAGCGGCTGAAGTCTGACAGGCTCCCGGATGTTGCCACACTGGGCCGCCCACGTGTGCCCACCTTTGCGGAGGCGATGGTGCAGGTACAGGCCGCGCACGTGCGGGAGGTCGAGGCGTTGCAGAAGGAGCTGAAAAAGGTGAGCCAGATGTCTGCACAGAAGGCGCGGGTTGCCTCCTCCTGCTCCTCTCCATTCGAGATCTCCGATGGTCGTCGTCTGTTTCGAAGTGTTGTCCCGCGCTGTGTTCTGAGGGCCCCTTTGCCCGGAGCAGGCCTCCAGAGGGCCAAACTTGGAAGCATGGCGTCGTGTGTTCGTACGTTCGGGTCGACCCGTCAGCCTCCGCTCAAAGCCAATCCCCAGACGCCTCCCACCAGACGGCGCCCCGACGAGATGTTCGAGCTCCGGCCAGCCGTGACCGCCAGAGCTCCTCTCCCCCGAAGGCCAGCAAGTGCGGCAACATAGTTCAACCCTCCTCTAGGCCTCCTAGATAGGGTCGGAGGATCGCGCCGCCTCGCCGATACATCGCGGATGCGGCTCGATGTGGGGCCCGATGTGCTTCACGTCGACGTCGTCGATGCATCGCCGACGTCGACGATGCATTACCAGTGCATCACCGATGCATCGCCGATGCACCGCCGATGTATCGGCGATGCGGCGCGATCCTCCGACCCTATTTACTCCGACCCCATCTAGTAGGCCTCTACCTTCCTCCCCCCCCGTCGTCGTGATGCTGGCAATGTCACGGCAGGGGTCCACCGCCTCCCGAGAGAGGGGACGTTGTGGGCGTTGGGGCCTTTTTTGCGATGTCTGCAGCCCTCGGGCAGTCGGGAACAGCATCGGACTTTGGAGCAGTGGAGGCGAACGAAGGATGAGGAGGAGGAGGAGGAGGAGGAAGAAGAGGAGGAGGAGGGGCTCCCGTACATGGGGAGTGAGAGGAGGAGTAGAAGGAGGAAGAACAGAGTAGACCTTGTATCAACGATCGAGTTCTCCGCACAAGCGGATGACCGTGTCGACTGCCGCGCTGTGTCTGCAAGCTAGGTCTTTTCATTCGCCCGACGCCTCGCGGAAGATTTCGTCGGCCGAGGAAGACGTCTTCGAGTAAGTGGTCGAGGCGTGACCGCGCTGCTGGATCAGTGCGATGACCACTTTTACATCGAACGACGCGGGCTCGCCCCCGTCGCCAGCGGCCACAGCGGCGAGCAGCTCGACAGCCGCCGCTTGCAGAGGAGGTGGTGGGAAATTATCACGAAGGGGAGCGGACCATGTACGGGTGACCCCCCCCTCCGCACTGCCAGCCCTTTTCCTCCCAGCGCGCATTTCAGTGGCAGGCCTTGCGCCCGCATCGTTCGGACCCGCCCTGGGTGCCGTTGAACGCCACCTTGTCACCAAGAGCCCCGCCGGCGCCGCCACGGCCAGGCGGGGAACCACGGTCCGTCTCCGCCCCGCATTCGCCACCGCCGCGTGGGGCGAATCGGCGGCCCACAAATGCGCCTGGCAGAGGCTCGGGTCTGGCTCGCGAAGCCGCACCACGACTTGACGAGGAGGAGGAGGAGGAGGAGGAGGAGGAGGAGGAGGAGGAGGAGGAGGAGGATGAGGAGGAGGAGGAGGAGAGGAGGGGCGGAGGAGGCGGACGCTCCCGTTGTATTGACACCCCGATCACCCCCCGTGTCCCTGTCTTCTCTTCACAACGCGGATTCCCTGGGATCCCTGTCCCCGGGGCCTCTTTTTCTCCCCAGCGTGTCCTGACTGTCTTGGGGCCCGGGAAAGGCTCCCAGACGCGGAAGAGGACTCCAAGTTGACTGTCTTGTTTTTTATTCACGACCCCAAAGGGGACAGCGCGCCCGAGGAGTGAGGAGGGAGGAGGAGGACGAAGGAGGAGGGAGGGAGGATGAGGGAGGAGGGAGGAGCAAGGAGCGATGAGGGAGGAAAAGGGAGGAAGTCCACTCCTCGCCCTCTTGGGGCGCCCCCCCAGGCAGATACCGGCAACACGGGCGCTCCGGCCTCGCAGCTCTACGACGTGGCAGCGGGGGTCCCTGGGGCCGTGGACACCGTCGCCCCGCGCTTCGGCCAGCAGAGGTTGAGCGCGATTCGGAGCTGCTGCCCGTCGTGCGGAGGCCCACGACGACGCCGACGGCGAATACGACGACGACGACGACGACAATGCCGACGACGACTTCGGCGACGTCGCTCACGACGCTGCGACCGAACAAGATAACGCCGATGATGATGATGATGATGATGATGATGATGATGATGATGATGATGATGATGATGATGATGATGATGATGCTGATGCTGATGCTGATGATGATGATGATGATGATGATGATGATGATGCTGATGCTGATGCTGATGCTGATGCTGATGATGATGGTGATGGTAATGGTGATGGTGATGATGATGATGATGAGGATGATTAAAGTGATGGTGATGGTGATGGTGATGGTGATGATTCTGATGCTGATGCTGATGCTGATGCTGATGCTGATACTGACAATGATGCTGATGCTGATGCTGATGCTGATGATGATGATGATGATGATGATGATGATGATGTTGATGGGAATGATGATGACCATGATGATGATGATGATGATGAGGATGAGATGATGAGGATGAGGATGAGGATGAGGATGAGGATGAGGATGAGGATGAGGATGAGGATGAGGATGAGGATGATGATGATGATGATGATGATGATGATGATGATGATGATGATGATGATGATGCTGATGATGATGATGATGATGATGATGATGATGATGATGGCAACGACGACTGCATGGGCAGCGGCAGCGACGGCGACGAGGCCCGTCGGACGTGCCTGGGGCCCGCGTCTGCGCGTCGTGCTTCGGGAAGGAAAGCCTCCAGTGGCACCAGCAGGCCTGGTCTACGAGACACAGCTCGGAGAGGGGGGTGTCCGAGATGTCCGACGGCACCTTCGACGACCCCTATTCGGTCCAGGACGATTGCATAAAGACAAGGATGCTTCTTGAGAGTTCATGTGCGAAAAGCAGATCCATACACGTGCCCCCGCGGTCCGGATACCGTGGCGCCATCCTACGGCTGTCCGATCTCATGAGCACTTCTCGCGAGACGTGTCCTCGTAGTGCCGTCTTGTGCTCATGGGGTCGACGCCAAGGGGTCCAGACCGCGGGGCCGTGGACGCGGACATGTCTCCCGCCCACGATGGATGGCGGGGACGAAGAGGAGCTCGCGAGAAGCAGGAGAACGTATCGTTGTGCCCTTTTGGCCTTGTCTCTCCGCTCTCCCCCCCAGGAGCACCGCGGTTCGCATGACACGGGCATCGTGTGGAACCCGTTCGAGGGTGCGCAGAGCGGACGTCAGGGAAGCCCAAACGCACTGTGAGGTTGTTTTCCAGCTTCGGCCCCCTACTCCCCCTCCTCGTTCTCCCTGACTCTTTCCCTCCTCTCCCCCCCTCATCCCAATCCTCTTCCTCCCTCCTCCTCCCTCTGCTTCTCCTCCCTCCTCGTCCTCCTCCTCCCTCCTCTTCTTCTTCTTCCTCCTCCTCCTCCTACTCCTCTTCCCATTACTTATGAGATTGTGTCTCTTAGTTCCTCTTCGTCCTTCTTTCTCCGCCCGCTCCCCCCTTCCGTCCCCGCCCCCCCACCCTCTGTGCACCGTGCGTTCCCGCGCGCGCGGGGAGCGCGCGTTGGGCGGGGGGGGGGGGAGAAGGTCGTGGCAGGGGAGGGGTAGGGGGAGAAGGGCAGGGGAGAAGGACAGGGGATGGGAAGGGAAGAGGGAGAGGAGGGAGGGGGAGGGACGGAAGGACGAGGCTGTCCTCCCACCATGGGGCGAACCTCGCTACCACAGTAATTCCGGCCGCCCTCAAGGAGTGTCCAAGAAGCTATCCCGCTGGTTCAGTGCCGGCGGAGAAGCGCGGAAGAGGCGCAGGTCGTACAGGACAGCGAGCAAACCTAAGCGCACATGGAATGGCAATTGCTCGGACGGTTGGGCCCCACGTTATAGCTCTTGTGGCACAGGCGTAGGTGACGTGCAGAATGCACCAATTACAGGCGGCAGGTAAGGAAGATATACCCCCAGGAGGGTACGATCGAAAACGAAGTTGTTGTTGTTGTTGTTGTTGTTGTTGTTGTTGTTGTTGTTGTTGTTGTTGTTGTTGTTGTTGAACATTATTCCTTCTAAAGAATTATTATTGTTGGGACCCCTGGTGCGCGACCTCTGCGCCGCGCCTAGGCCGCAGCTACATTTTCATCATTTTTTCGCGAAAGCTTCAGAAAAGTGGATGAGCTCCGGATCCGGTTTTTTGTTGACGCTCGTTTTCCCTTGCAAAAAACAATAGAAAATGAAAATTCTTGTTTTTACTTGATCAAATTGCAAGAATCCCTTGCAAAAAATAAGGTAAAGTGGACATTCGTGCGCGCAAGACGAAATCCTTCCAAAACCTTAGGTTTCGTAACGATTTTAACATAAAAACATCAAAAACCCAATGGTTTTTTAAGAAAAAATTGTCAAAATGTCCTTCCGCGCGCGCTGTCCGAATCCCACAAAACCAATGGTTTTTCAACATTTATGTTACATGAGCTCGCGCGAGCTACTTTTTCTTGTTCTAACATAATCAAATTTCAATAATCCCTTGCAAAAAATAAGGTAAAGTGGACATTCGCGCGCGCAAGACGAAATCCTTCCAGAACCTTAGGTTTCGTAACGATTTCAACATAAAAACATCAAAAACCCAATGGTTTTTCAAAAAAAAATGTCCAAATTTCATCCCGCGCGCGCTGTCCGACTCCCACAAAACCAATGGTTTTTCAACATTTATGTTACATGAGCTCGCGCGAGCTACTTTTTCTTGTTCTAACATAATCAAATTTCAATACTCCCTTGCAAAAAAAAGTAAAGTGGACATTCGCGCGCGCAAGACCAACAAAAAACACGACGATCTCAGGAACTTGCCCCAAAAATGTGACCAACTCCGCTCTCTCTGTCTCTCTCTCTGTCTGCTCTCTGTCTCTCTCTCTGTCTGTCTGTGTCATGTATTGTATGTCACAATTGCAGGATGCTGGGCACACGCGCGCCCCGAATAAGTGACCAAGTTCTGTGGGTGTGTACCCCACGCCAGTGTAGTAGCCACGGTCGTCCGCACGCCACGAAGTGAAGTGTCCCAACGTCATAGGGCGGGAAGCTGGGTTTGGGTGGTCGCGAAGAGTCGTTTGGATATTTGGTAGAGCTTGAACTGCCCCCCCACGAAGTGGGGGTATTGTCTCGCGTCGCATGAAAACCCTGGCACTGGTGAGAACACTGAGCGTTCGGGTAAAATGATTGTTGTTGTTGTTGTTGTTGTTGTTGTTGTTGTTGTTGTTGTTGTTGAACTCTCATTCTTGAAGAATAATTATTGTTGATCCCCCCCCACCGGTGCACATTGATTTTTTTCGATTGAAGTGCCACCCCCGGGGCTCGCACCTTGTTTTTTCTCAAGGAAAGTCTTCCTGCTCAAACTGTGCCCCTGCCCCCCGGGCTACAACAACAACGGCTCCCGCCTGAGACTTCCTCGATTTTTACTCAGGACCCCCGCTCCCGCCTGAGACTTCCGCGCAATTTACTCAGGAAAGGCGCTCCCGTCTGAGACTTCCTCGCAATGTAATCAAGACCCCCGCTCCCGCCTGAGACTTCCGTGCAATTTACGTGGGAACGGCGCTCCCGCCTGAGACTTCTTCGAATTTTACTCAGGACCCCCGCTCCTGCCTGACATTTCCGCGCAATTGACTCAGGAACGGCGCTCCCGCCTGAGACTTCCTTGCAATTTAGTGAGGACCCCCGCTCCCGCCTGAGACTTCCGTGCAATTTGCTCAGGAACGGCGCTCCCGCTTGAGACTTCCTCGCAACTTAGTCAGGGCCCCCGCTTCCGCCTGAGATTTCCTCACAATGTACTCAGGACTGCGCTCTCGCGTGCGACGTCCTCACAAATTATTCTGGAATTGCGTTTCGGCGCTCAGGAACCACGCACGCGCCAAGGACGCCTTCACAACGTGGTATCTTCCCTCTTCCTTCGTCCTTCCCCCTCCCCTTCCTCCCACTCTCCCTCGTTCTTCCCCTCCTCCTCTTGCAGGGCCCGCGCCAATTCCAATGGCGGGCAGAGAGATGTACGCCCCCGAAGGATTGTCCGCCCGTTCCGGTTTGCCCGTACGTCTAAGCCCGCCGGCCCCAGCAAAGAGAAATAATCCCCCCGAAAGGGGTGTGATCGAAGACGAAGAGGGCGGGCATCGAGGGTGTAGGGTATACTTGTTGAATGACTCGCGGGCAAGTAGGAGCGTACAGCCTTAAAATGGTTGTTGTTGTTGTTGTTGGTGGTGTTGGTGTTGTTGTTGTTGTTGTTGTTGTTGTTGTTGTATTAGTAGTAGTAGTTGTTGTTGTTGTTGTTGTTGTTGTTGTTGTTGTTGTTGTTGTTGAATTCTCATGTTGGAAGGTTAATTATTGTTGATCCCCCCACCGGTGCATAGTGTTTTTTCTCAATCAACATGTGCCCCTCGACGCTCGCTCCTTGCTTTTTTCATATAAGGGAAAGTCTTCCTGCTCAAACTTGGCCCCTGGCCCCCGGGTTACAACAACAACGGCTCCCGCCTGAGACTTCCTTACAATTACAATTTAGCCAGGACCCCCGCTCCCGCCCGAGACTTCCACGCATTTTATTCAGGAATCGCGCTCTCGCTTGGGCCTTCCTTACAATTTATTCAAGAATCGCTCTCCCGGCGCTCTGGAGTCGCGCTCTCGCTGGAGACTTGCTTGCAACTTACTGAAGGATGGCCTTGCGTGGGAATTTCTTGCAATTTGCCTAAGCGCCGCGCTCCCGACACCCGGGCACCCAGGAGTCGCGCTCGTTGTGGCCCCATATGCATGCCCTTCGTGGCCCCGCTGTCGCCATTTGTGTCCCCTCTCACTGTCCTACGTGGCCCAGTTGCTACCCTCATTGGCCCCATAGTTGCCTTCTGTGGCCCCGCATTATATGCATTTCGTGGCCGCCGCTCGTTCGCGCTCTTCGTGGCCCCATACGCATTCCCTTCGTGTCCCCGCTCTCGCCCTTCGTGGCCTACTTCGTGCCCTTCGTGGCCCTGCTGTCGTTCTCTCTCGCTCTCGCTTTCGCTCGTCGTCGCCGTCGTCGTCGTCGTCGCCGTCGTCTTCGATGTAGTCGCCGCCGTCGTCGTCGCCGTCGTCGTCGTCGTCGTCGTCGTCGTCGTCGTCGTGGTCGGTCCCCTGTCCGTCCCTCTTGGGGTCGGGTCGGCGGTCCGCGACCGCCCCGCCGATCAGCGCTGCCGCTGGCCAGGCCGACGGTCCGCGGCCGCCCCGCCGCTTGCCGGGGCTTGGCCTGCAGGGAAGAAACGTATACCCCCCAAAAGGGGTTCGATCGAAGTGTCTAGGGTTTGGGAAATACGCGTTATTGGACACTCGAGCGTTTAAGGATATCTAAGGGCGAACAGTCTTAAATTTCTTGTTGTTGAATTCTCACATCTGTAGAATAATTATTGTTGATCCCCCCCACCGGTGCATATTGTTTTTCTCAATCAAAGTGTGCCCCTCAACGCTCGCACCCTGTTTTTGGACAGGGGAAGCCTTCCTGCTGAAACTTGGCCCCTGGCCCCCGGGTTACACAACAACGGCTCACGCCTGAGACTTCCTTACAATTTAGCCAGGGCCCCCGCTCCCGCCCGAGATTTCCTCGCATTTAATTCAGGAATCGCGCTCTCGCTGGGGACTTCCTTAACATTTATTCAGGAATTGCTCTCCCGGCGCTCTGGAGTCGCGCTGGGACTTGCTTGCAACTTACTGAAGAATGGCCTTGCGTTGGAATTTCTTGCAATTTGCCTAAGCGCCGCGCTCCCGGCACCCAGGCGCCCAGGAGTCGCGCCCGTTGTGGCCCCATGTGCATGTCCTTCGTGGCCCCGCTATCGCCATTTGTGTCCCCTCTCACTGTCCTACGTGGCCCAGTTGCTACCCTCATTGGCCCCATAGTTGCCTTTTGTGGCCCCGCATTATCTGCACTTCGTGGCCCCCGCTCGTTCGCGCTCTTCGTGGCCCCATACGACGCATTCCCTTCGTGTCCCCGCTGTCGCCCTTCGTGGCCTACTTCGTGCCCTTCGTGGCCCTGCTGTCGTTCTCTCTCGCTCTCGCTTTCGCTTGTCGTCGCCGTCGTCGTCGTCGTCGCCGTCGTCTTCGACGTCGTCGTCGTCGTCGTCGTCGTCGTCGTCGTCGTGGTCGGTCCCCTGTCCGTCCCTCTTGGGGTCGGGTCGACTGTCCGCGGCCGCCCCGCCGCTTGCCGGGGCCCGGCCTGCAGGGAAGAAAGGTATACCCCCCAAAAGGGGTTCGATCGAAGACGAAGAGGGCGGGTATCGAGGGTTTGGGAAATACGCGTGGTTGGACACTCGAGCATCTAAGGGCGAACAGTCTTAGAATTATTATTGCTGTTGTTGTTCAGTCTCACTTCAGAAGAATAATTCTTGTTGATCCCCCCGTCTGGTGTACATTGTTTTTCCTCGATTGAAGTGCCCTTGCTGGGGCGCGCATTCTTTTTTCAAGGAAAGTCTTGAGGTTCAAACTGTGTCGTTGGCCCCCCGGTTACAACAACAACGGCTCCCGCTTAAGACTTCTTCACAATTTAGCCAGGACCCCCGCTCCCGCCCGAGACTTCCTTGCATGTGATTATGGAATCGCGCTTTCGCTTGGGACTTCCTTACAATTTATTCAGGAATCGTTCTCCCGGTGCCCTGGAGTCGCGCTCTCGCTGGAGACTTGCTTACAATTTACTGAAGAAGAGCGTCCTTGCGGTGGAAACTCTTGCAATTTATTCAAGCGCCGCGCTCCCGACAGCCAAGCACCACGGAGTCGCGCTCACGTTTAGGACCCCCTCACAGATTACCTAAGAATCGGGATCTAGCTGCCCGTCGTGG